TATGTTCAGCTGTTTCTTTAAGTATATAAGCTGGAATTTCATCAGGACCAGTTGCTTTAAATGGTCTTAATCCACGGAGTAGTTTGTAAACTCTGGCCTTGCTGACTGTGATATTGTCCATAGTTGGAAATGGACTTGGTCCCGTATGTGTTATGTTATGTATGTCTTCTTTTGTGTAGACAGATTGAAATTGATGGTTTAATATTAAAGCTTTTTTGGTGTATCGCTGTGGAGTAGACTATCTTTGTCTTTTAGGGTTACAATACCTGTTGATTCTTGTTTCCTGCTCTTGATGTAGGACCAGAAGCGTTTTAGTTGCTTCTTGTGCTCTGTGCTGATGATATCTTCCATGTATTTTCCATGAGCAACCTTGAGGAATTTGTATCGTTTCCAATCTTTAGTGTTTTTAGACCTTTTAGCCTTGGTGTATGCTCGCTGTTTGCTAGCTGTTGCTAATTTTCCGTAGCTGTGTATTCTTCCAAGGTTACTGTATCTCTCCTTAGTCTGTTTTATTGGTACATATTTGGTCATTACATTCTTGATGATGTTTTTGAAGTTATTCCACATTGTGTTGATGTCGCTGGACCTGGCATTTTGAAATTCAGTGAGGTTATCAGTAAGACTTTTCTTTATTCCCTCCATATCGGTTTTTTCCAGAGATTGGTGGTTCTACTGGTTGGTTTTGGTCTTGTTTTTTCGCTGCTAGGTCTAATAGTACGATGTCGTGGTCGCTGTTTCCGATTGGTGGAAGTGTCTTACATCTCTCGAGATGACCTATATGTGATGTAAACAAAAGGTCCAAAGTATTTCCCCCTCTAGTTGGTTTGTTCACCAGCTGTTGGACGATTAGGTCTGCAATCATCCTGATGAAAGCTAGATTGACCTGTGCTGGTACTTGATTGCTGTGTGTATCATATGAGGTCCAATCAATGACTGGAAGATTAAAGTCACCTAATCGAAAAATGTTTTTCTTATTTTTCTCTCGTGGGATTTTTATTTCTGCCAATGCTGTATCTATATATTCTGAGTCTTGTTTATTTGGTGGTCTATAGAAACAGTTGAGTGATATTGATTTTCTATGTCCCATTTTGATGTGTCCTGAAATCAGCTCTGTTTTATCGCTACTAAAACTCTGTGTGAGGCCAAGGTCGTGACGTGCTGCTATGATCACCACTCTATGTGGGTCCCCTTTTCTATCCCTACGGATGATGTTACAACCTAAGGAATCAGGGAAAATCTCCTTGCTATGAATCTTGTCTGATAGCCAGCTTTCAGTTCCAAGTATGACATTTGGTCTTGTAGATTCAAGTAATACCTGCAGATCGTTACGTAGATTTTTAACACTCTGAAAATTGATAATGAGTATTCTGAGTGAACTCTACTATCGTTTTGATGGTAATGTCTTTGTTTTGTCTGGCTTTGGTAATGATGCCGCTTGTGGATGACCAGGGCTAGACCTCAGAGAATCTGACGCGCTAGCGTAACTCTGGTTTGATGATAATACAGAGTATGTATTACTGTCTGCTGGATCGAATAGGTCGTAAAGGACAGTCGAGTAGTTGCAGGTGTTGCATACTACACAATGCCAGGAAACAGGTGTGTTTGCTAAACGGCATATGTAAATATGAATAGAAAGACAAGCACATGCAATACTATAATGATTATTTTCCGGTGCGTATTTGATTTCATGTCAAAGATAAAAAAATAAATATGTAAATCTTCGTTTGGTCTGTGTACGAAATACCGAATCAGTTAAGGAACTGGTTCTCCCTCAGTGACTCAAAAAGGGGCAAGCTTCTGAAAGTGACGAGCAAAATTCTAAAAAAAATCTATAGTGTAGTAGTTATAGTCAGTGTCCTTTATCATTTTCTTTTTATGTTTTACAATAGATTTTTTGGCTAAAAAGTGGTCGGGGGACAAAACAAATAGTTTACCCCACCCTTTTGGAATTTGTCCCCATTGCAATCCCCTCCTTTCCTATGCCAGTGTTCCATATGGCTCAATTCTTTCAATTTTCAGTTCTGACATTCATTTTATATTAAATAACAAATTATGCGCTGCGCAACCTTACTTCAACTAAGGGTCAAATGGAAGGTTGCATGCATACGGATTTTGATGTCGAATTACTGTCTTGCTAGACAATAATTCTACCTGCGATGTTCAGGTATTTTGAAAAAAATAATGAACCAAACTCACTGCTAATAGTGAATTATTCTTTCAACGTGCCGCTTTTATAAATACTTGGAACAAATCACGAATATTTGTTGTCTTCATCGTAGTTTTAGTGCCCCTGAGAGCAATTCAAACCAGAGCTTAATCCGAAAGAAAAAAAAACATTTAAAGGCACAGGTGCAAGACTATATTTTTTCAATATATGTATATATACTGAATACACTAGTAGTATATAGAAATAAGAAGATGTGGTATGAGTGCCAATGAGACAACTCTCCATCCAAGTCACAATGTGTAAAAAGTAAACAATTATAGGTCAAAGTACGGCCTTCAACACGGGGCCTTGTCTCGCACCGAACAGCAAGCTATATTAAGGGCCCCAAAATGACTAGTCTAAAACAATTCAAACAGGAAAACCAACGGTCTAATCTATATAAAAAACGAGAACGAGAAACACTATATACACCATGTATACATATGTTAAAAAAAATCTCGTCTTGTACCTGTGATTTAAGGCAGATCGCATACCTTCCTCTATCTTGGATTAATTGCAGAAAACAATCGGTCTAGATCTTTAATGAAATGTGCAAAAAAAAATGGAATTCATTTGTAGGACTTTCCATTTAAATGAAGAGAAGTAGCTAGGTGTTTTATGATAGTTTTGCGATTTTTGTTTCAAATACAGAATGTTTTGTTATATTCTTAATGTTTGACAACATTGCCATTTAAGGGGATATAAATCAAATAAATGACCTTTTATGAAGGAATGTATTATGAATTTACTTATTTTGTTTTGTAGCAAAAAAACGAGTCCCGTGACTTCCATTTTTCGTTTAAATTTTTGAAAGCACATGGTAAGAGCTATCTTCTCATATTCTATTTTTAAATATCATTTAGTTTTCCTTTAATCGCACAAAATTGAGTTTTCTATACATAATTTACCACAGGCAGTTGTCTCTGAAAAAACCTTTATACTTTAAAAATGTTACATATAAGAGTCTAGACTTACATATAGGTAAAAAAAAATAACTGCCTGTGTAATCCACATAGAAACTTGGGGACAGGAATTGTTTTTATCCCTCCCCCTTTTCCTCCCCGAAATCCGTGATCAGCGACCGCTGTGGGTAGTAAACTAGGAATTGATAGTGAATAGAAAAATACATGTTATTTCTAGTATATACGATGGAGAACGTCTGTGGTAACGTTGTCATATGTTTAGAGTATATAACAACATTATGATTTGATGTGACGGCATGGTAATTGTTTTATCATCCTTTTAATACGACAGACCAACATTACTGATCTGAAAGATACACCATCCTACTTGCCATTATACATCATGTGCTGTGTTACAACCCTAGATAAAGCCGTTGAGGAAAGTCATTACTCGTCTAACGAAAGCTATATTTTTATATAGCCTAGCTAGTTGGTCGAGTGGCCAGTCTATGGCGATGGACACAGTGCAGGCGGTGTTGCCACAACGGTTACAAAAGCAGGGGTAACTACAGAATAGCTAATATTTTTAAAGGGGCATTAGCTACGAGATATAAAAAAAATCTAAATATGATTTTTTTGTTTGTTCAACCAGGCATTAATGAAATTGATATAGTGAAATAAAAATTCACTTTTAGCAGCCAATTTGGTTCAATTTTGTTAAAATAGGCAATTAAGAAACATTGCTGATGAATTATTCACTTGCAAGTGATTAATTCAACCTTATAGAATCCGTATTCATGTGACCTTAAATTTAACCCCTTAGCTGGAGATGGGTTACGCATGTATTCAGCTATTAAAAGGAAAAGAATGTCAACATTGAAAGTGAAACAAGGATGAACCATTTTGGTTGACTGATTCGATCCACACTTGAAAAATCTTTATTATACAGGTAAAAACGGTGATAAACATACTGTTTAACCTATACAATTTGAAATCAAATAGACATAGAAAAATCAAATTGCACGTGGACGCTATCTGTTTAAATTGAGTTATATGACCGTCGGCAGTCTTCGGAGGTCATCTCGACGGTTAATTAGATGACGTCTAACGTTAGACAAAAATACACACGAAATGGTGATACATATTATCGAGTCCATGCATTGTTAATTGTTTATTTTAGACTTTTTGTAATTTGGATATACGTTTTAGCAGAGACATATAACAATGTCTCTGGTTTTAGTATGTTATAAATCAAATATGAGAATATGAGTCAAATCGGTGAACATGAATTTGACAGCTAACGCCCCTTTAAAGATAAGAATAATGAGCGAACTTGAAAATTAATACACCTTATCGCTATTTGTCCGCCATTACTGGACATCACACAAGTTCCCGTAAAATTTTGACGTCATAATAGAAAATGTCTGACGCCACAATGGAAAAGTGATTGTTGTATGACGTCAAAAGTTCGAACGGGACAGATTCTCGGGATTAGCGATAAGGTGTATTAAAGAAGACAGAAATGGACCCCCCATCGATACCCCCATAATGGAACACCGTCTGGATATTGGTGTACAAAAGAGCTTAAAAATTTGAATGAGCTTGATTTTTTCCTTTTTTTTTTCTGTTTATATGCAAAAAAGAAAAGTCACAATGATTAGAACTTGATAATGATATGAAATAAGTGCAATCCTAAAATTTCACATTTTCTTTTCAATAATGTTCATATCTTTTTGGTTATTCTTGTAATTATTTTTTCACACTTAAAAATCTTTAAACAGAAAATGATGTATTGGAATTCCCTCGTTGATTTTAAATGTGTACAGTAGAAGTGTCCGGGATCAGCGGCACATAAATCGGTAAGTTCGTACGATATCACGTGCGTAATTTCCGTAAATAAAAAAGATGGGTCATCTTTGTTTACGTTTGTGAATGAATAGATCTATCATTTAGATTGAAATAACAATGCCTTGGAGTTTTCCGTGGTCAGATTATGTGAAGAAAAGGGCATGCAGATACCTTTTACAACACTATCTTGGACAGTTTCTGAAAGAGAAGCTGACTCTCGATCAGCTGAGCGTCAATCTTTCCAGTGGCAAAGGAAACATTACCCAACTAGATTTAAATGTTGAGGTTGTTAATAGTTATTGTTTAAAATTACTTCAAAAATAGACCTTTATTGATGTAAATATGGGCCACATGTAAAATTGTATGTTTCTATTTTTTAAACAATGGTGCTTGATCAGTCAGGTTGCTGATGTTACTTACTTTCTTGCTTTGTATCAACCTTGTTCATCTGTCCTGTTAAATGTTGGCACAGACCTCTGTCTGTTTATAAACAATTTCAGAGAAGGTGCGGCAACTTTAGAGGATGGAAGTGAATTCAAAGAGTTCACAATATAATAAGAGGAAAGTTTGTTTCTGACATCAGTTCTAGCATTATGCTTTACTTTTAGTTGTGACCTCTGGTTTACAAGTCTTTCAATTAAGAAAAAAAAAGCGGGTACCATGCTTTGTAACTACACTATTAAATCCCAAACTTTTCCAGACGAACTCAATCTCCTAATAGGGGTTCCCAAGGTTAGGACTGTTTGTCTGATTGCTTTGTTCTACATGTATGAAGGAAAATTTGTTTGGTAGAAAACAGCCTTCTTTTACATAAGGAGTTTTAACCCATGTAGGGCTATAGTATACCAAACTAGACTGTCCCTTTTGACATATTTCTTATTCATTCAAATGTAAACATTTGTACAGGTGCTTTGTCCTCACATCCTTTTTTTCGCCACAGGAATTCAGAAAAAAATCTTAATATAAAGGTTATAATTTGAAAATATCTAGTGAAAAAGGTAATTTTAAATGATGTTTGATCGTTCTGTGGTATTTTCATGGAAAAAACTGTTTACCAAGTAGAAGTTGAATATGTTTGTAAATGATGCTAGAACACTGAATAAAGTGTCATAAGAGAGGCGAAAGATACCAAAGTGATATTCAAACTCAATGCTCCGTGTTGAAGGCCGTACCTTGTCCTATATTGGTCTACTTTTATAAATTGTAACTTGGATGGAGAGTTGTCTCATTGGCACTCATACCACATCTTCCTATATCTATCATAAGTCGAAAACAAACTGACAATTCCATGGCAAAAAACAACAAACAACAGTACACAAAATACAGCGTACTAAAGACTGAGCCACACAAACCCCACCAAAAACCGGGGGTGATCTCAGGTGCTCGGAATGGTAAGCAGATCCTGCTCCATATGTGGCACCCATCGTGTTCCTAATGTTAGTACAAACCCAGTGATAAAATAAGCCAAAATCAAAACAACAAAAAATTTGAAAAGTTGTGTATGTCATTAACCAAAAATAGGAAAAGAAGATGTTAATGTAAAGGAGATATTACAAAAGAATAAGACTTTGACAGTAAAACACTGTTCCATATTTAAGTCCAATGCTGTTCAATTTAATGATCACATTAGTTTTTGAAGGACCTTTAGCTTAAACTAAACACATGCAACAGCATGAAACACCAAAGCTGAATGAATAACTGATTATGTTTTTGGAGTGTACATTGTACATCACAATGCATAAGCTGTGGTTCCCTGCTGACTACTACACTTTGTTCATTTCAATAAATACAAGCAGATTCCATCATGCTATGCTATGAAAAGAAATGAAAATGTAATGAAGCATTTAATTGTGACATTTATCAGATAATAATACAATTTTTATGCCCGCACCGTCGCGGTGGGGGCATTAAATTTTACCCTTGTCCGTCTGTACGTCCCAAAATTGGTTTCCGTTCTCTAACTTTAGTTTGCCTCAACCAAATGTTATATGAAACTTATACACAATGCTTATTACTACATCACATAGATCAAGTTAGAAATTTGTTGGCACCACTTTTACTGTTCTAGAGTTATGCCCCTTTACCAATGAAAAAATTGCTGAAATTTTCGTTTCTGTTCTCTAACTTTAGTTTGCCTCAACCAAATATTATGAAACTTATACACAATGCTTATTACCACAAAACACAGACCAAGTTTGAAATTGGGTAGCGTCACTTTTACCATTCTAGAGTTATGCCCTTTTACAAATGGAAAAAATGCAGAATTTTTTCGTTTCCGTTCTCTAACTTTAGTTTTCCTCAACGAAACGTTATGAAACTTATACACAATGCTTATTACAACAAAACTCAGATCAAGTACAAATTTGGGTAGTGTCACTTTTACCGTTCTTAAGTTATGTCCCTTTATAATGTTATATGCAAGCAGGGGCATCATCTGTGTCCCATGGACACATTCCCCATTTATTTTAATTAAATTGCATATTGATATGGATTAGGTAAGTTATTTGATGAGGTTTTTTTTTTTTGAAGAGATAAGGACACCCTCTACAATTTGAATACAAACATGAGGAAACATAAACAAGCATCTTGAAATTAATTTTCTCTCATACATTTAAATTTTGCTTATAGTACTCTATAATTTGTACCCTTTTGGCAGTTTAAATTTTTGAATAAAGACCATGGACAATACAGGTCTGAATTTGGTTCATTTGGTTCCTAAAACTTAAAAACAAAGGCTGCTAATAACAACCAATGATCCTGATTGAACAATTTTCAAATATTTTCTGAAACTAATTGTTGATTGGAAGAACCCCATTTAAAATGTATTCCTTGGGAAATGTTGTTGCATTGGAGCATGGGGCAATTAATACTTTTCATTTAAGCCACATAACAATTTCATCAATCCTATAACTGCAGTGTACTCTTAGAACTTTTGGCCTTTTATAGCCAACTATACGTATGGGTTTTTCTCATTGTTGAAGGCCGTACGGTTGCCTTTGAATGCTTACATCCACTTCATTTGAAATTTGGAGGATAGTTGTTTCATTGGCAATCATACCACATCTCCTTATTATGTTGTTCTCGTCCTGAACATGCATGAAATATTTGCCTCTGGACTCAATTTCCTTATGATATTTAACACATTTTGCTTAAATAGATCATGATACAGTCTATATTGAAAGTCCCCTACAAATGATCCTAATTTGGTTCCAATAAGATGAATTAGATTGTTGCCAGAGGCAATCTATGATTTTAAACTTAGTGGTCAATTAACCAAAAGCTCCTCTAAATTATGGGGCTAAAATTTTGGAAACTTCAAATGATGTACATGTATAAAAACAAAACCACAAACGACGATTATTTTGACAGTTTTTTCATTGAAATTAAATTAAAAAAATACAGTGGCACCAATCTGAGATAAATTCACCTGCTAATAGAACATAACTCTAATGAAATATAGGAAACAGATTTATATGAGAAAACTTGATTCCTTGAAGAATTGACAAAAGGTATTCTATACTCTGAATGTAAAGCTATTTTAAGATATGTTATATGTATCTTTTACATTTTCAGTCTTTGAATGAAGCTTTAGAAAGTAGCAGTATACCATTAGAAGTAGTAGATGGTTTTATACATGAGATATCTGTATCTGTGCCATGGACTTGTCTGATACAAAAAAGTACAGAATTGGAAATAACTGGTTTGGAGATTACATTGCAACCCAAACAAAGAAATCAACATGGTAAATATTCAATTCCTAATACCTACATGTATTAATTAAGTATTTATAACCTTGTATGAATGCTTTGCCTAGAATACAAAGAATGCAGAGGATCATGTGTGGATTTACAGTGACAAAATAAAATGAATGCTTATATGTTATGAATAAATTATAATTATAGCTATTTTCTAAAATTTTGCTTTGATTTTTTTGGTGATAATTTTTCAAATCACGCTTCTCCATTGATGTGGGTTTTTCTCAGTTGAGAAACAGATAATGTATGACGTCATGAGCCTACGTCATTGATGTTGCCTAGGAAAACATCGATAAACAGATGATCAATGGTCTTTTAAACTCGAGGATGTTTCTTGTCTACATCTCATCTCAGAGCTGTCACCCTTCGAAGAGATTGTAGATGAGAAACACCCTCTTGTTTAAAAAACCATCAATTATCTATTAATATAATAATATTAAAAATACATTTAATTAATTTAAAGGAAAAAGTGCATAGGTTTCAATAAAAGAAAATATTGCTTATACTTCAATGAGACAGCAAACCAACAAAAAAAATACCAAATCTATTACATTTTGAGGACAGCTAACAGATGTTGAAGAAACAGAGAGTAGTTTTTTAATAAAAATATATTTTCACTGTTGGGAAATATTTCAGACAGTTGACAGTTAACACATTCTATGTGGATCTTTAACAGAAAGTTGCAAATGAATACTAGAGCCAACAGCTGATCATAAAACGGAAAAATTCAAATAACCATTTTGATTATCTGTATATTTTGATAAATCAATTACAATTTATCGTTTTTTAATTCGATAAATGTATGGTACAGCTCTTTAAAGTTAACAAAAAACAAAATCAAAATCTATACAAACCTTGAAACTTATAAGTCATAGCTGCTTGTCTAGATTTAAAAAAAATGAAATTTCAAAGTAAAGTTTGAGATGCACTGCTATTGATTTTTTATACTTTGAGCAAAGCTCAGATGTCTAAGATTTTACTTTAGCTGGTTTTTAATGGCTTTCAAATCCTGAATTATTTCTATTTCAGCTGGGGGTTTAGAATCTATGTTAAGCAGTACAATGAGTATGACATCCAGTTTGAAAATAGCCGAAGATTGTTTAAAACGTACAACTTCTGAAGAAAGCCTTGCAGAAGACACTTCACAGCCGTATGAGGGTGTTCAGATTTTTGCACAAACCATTGATTCAGGTACATGTATTTATTTCTTCAGAACAAAAATTGATGTGGTGTATACAACAATGAACAGCAACCCAACACAATATGAAAAAAAGGTCAAAAGATTACTGGAGGTCAACATACAGTCTTCAACAATAGACATGTGTCTACTGTGAATTCAGAAATTATTGTGAGGTTTTAATTATTGCAATAATGCCTATGGGTGAGTATCGCAATAATGATAACTCGCATTTTGATATCTGATACATATATTTGTAAGTAGCTTTTCCTGAAATCGCAATAATTAATCTCGCATTGTGGTCAATTCTTCCAAGGTCCAGTAATAAATGAACGCAATAATTTGTGAACTTACAGTATATATAATATGTCAAACCTTAATTGGCCTAAGTCTAAAACATAGTTGTTCAGGTTACCAGTATTCAGAGAAAATGTATTTCTTGATCTTTAATACACATGGTTATTAAAGAAATTTAAAAAAAATTGACTGGCTGCAAATATATCCATTAGTAAATTATGTTTGGTCTCATAAGACTGCATGTGTAATGTCTTGAAATTATTTGACTCTTTAAGTTCAAAAAAATTAAAAAAATAGGTTGAAGAGATTTTCAATCATTATGAAATAAACTGAAAATTTAGAAATTTAAAAAAATATACATAATTGCATTACATGTAAGTTTCATATATATGATTCCGTAATTTTGACCAAGGCATTCCTAAAGTTATATATAATTAAACAAATGAAAGACTTGATTTAACTCATAATTTCATGTTTGTAGCATAAAAATGTAATTATAAGGATTGAATGCTTCTTTTTGTAATTTTTATACGACCGCAAAAATTGAAAATTTTTTGGTCGTATATTGGTATGACGTTGGCGTCGTCGTCGTCGTCTGGCGTCGTCCGAAGACACATTGGTTTTCGCACTCTTACTTTAGTTTAAGTGAATGGATCTCCATGAAATTTTACCATAACGTTCAATACCACGAAAGGAAGGTGGGGATTGATTTTGGGGGTTATGGTACCAACAGTTAAGGAATTAGGGGCCAAAAAGGGGCCAAAAATAAGCATTTTTGTAACTTCCAGACAATAACTTGTGTGTAAGTGTATGGATCTCTCTGACATTGTACCACAAGGTTCCATATCACAAAGGGAAGGCTGTAATTGATTTTGGGGGTAATTGCCTCAAAATTTTAGGAATTAGGGGCCAAAAAAGGGGCAAAAAACAAGCATTTTTCTAGTTTCATGACAATAACTTGTGTGTAAGTGTTTGGATATTTCTGAAATTGTACTACAAGGTTCCATATCACAAAGGGAAAGCTGGAATTGAGTTTGGGGGTAATTGCCCGAAACGTTTAGGAATTGGGGGCCAAAAAGGGGCCAAAAATAAGCATTTTTCTAGTTTCCAGACAATAACTTGTGTTCAAGTGTATGGATCTCTCTGAAATTGTACTGCAAGGTACCATACCACAAAGGGAAGGCTGGGATTGAGTTTGGGGGTGATGAATCATAAGGGGGTTCAAAAAATTTGGGGGGGGGGGGGGTTTTCTTTTTTTTTCTTTTTTTCCTTTTTTTTTCTTTTAAAATTTTCCATTTTAAGTTGGTTATTTCTGATTAATATTTAAAAGCAAATAATAATGATATGGTAGGAGATACACACCAAACAGGATGTGTAAATTATTATATAATAAGTATTGTGCAATAGCAAGAAATTTTCAATTGCACAGTATTGCACAATTGCAAGAAATCTTCAATTGCACAGTATTGCGCAATAGCAAGAAATCTTCAATTGCACAGTATTGCGCAATAGCAAGAAATATCCAATAGCACAATATTGCGCAATAGCAAGAAATTGTCAATTGTACAGTATTGCACAATAGCAAGAAATATTCAATTGCACAGTATTGTGCAAAAGAAGATACTTCGTATAAATTACTTATTTCTTGATCAATTTCAATGGGGTTTTATTCTTGAATTCTTGGGGTTCTTTAATATGCTGAATCTAACCGTGTATTAAGTTTATTGATTTTGGGCCCCGTTTTTAAATTGGTCCACATTGAGGTCCAAAGGGTCCAAAATTTAACTTTGTTTGATTTCATCAAAAATTGAATTATTGGGGTTCTTTGATATGCCGAATCTAACCGTGTATTTAGATTCTTAATTTTTGATTCCGTTTTCAAATTGGTCTACATTAAGGTCAAAAGGGTCCAAAATTAAACTTAGTTTGATTTTAACAAAAATTGAATTTTTAGGGTACTTTGATATGCTGAATCTAAACATGTATTTAGATTTTTAATTATGGGCCCAGTTTTCAAGTTGGTCCAAATCGGGGTCCAAAATTAAACTTTGTTTGATTTCAACAAAAATTGAATATATGGGGTTCTTTGATATGCTGAATCTAACCATGTATTTAGATTTTTGATTTTTGGGCCCCGTTATCAACTTTGTCCACATTGAGGTCAAAAGGGTCCAAAATTAAACTTTGTTTGATTTCATCAAAAATTGAATTCTTGGGGTTCTTTGATATGCTGAATCTAACCATGTATTTAGATTTTTTATTTGTGGACCCGCTATCAAATTGGTTCATATTGAGGTCAAAAGGGTCCAAAATTAAACTTTGTTTGATTTCATCAAAAATTGAATTATTGGGGTTCTTTGATATGCCAAATCTAACCGTGTATTTAGATTTTTAATTTTGGGTCCCGTTTTTAAATTGGTCTACATTAAGGTCCAAAGGGTCCAAAATTAAACTTAGTTTGATTTTAACAAAAATTGAATTCTTGGGGTTCTTTGATATGCTGAATCTAAACATGTGTTTAGATTTTTGATTATGGGCCCAGTTTTCAAGTTGGTCCAAGTTGGGGTCCAAAATTAAACTTTGTTTGATTTCAACAAAAATTGAATATATGGGGTTCTTTGATATGCTGAATCTAAACATGTATTTAGATTTAGATTTTTGGCCCAGTTTTCAAGTTGGTCCAAATTGGGGTCCAAAATTAAACTTTGTTTGATTTCAACAAAAATTGAATATATGGGGTTCTTTGATATGCTGAATCTTACCATGTATTTAGATTTTTTATTTGTGGGCCCGCTATCAAATTGGTTCATATTGAGGTCAAAAGGGTCCAAAATTAAACTTTGTTTGATTTCATCAAAAATTTAATTATTGGGGTTCTTTGATATGCCAAATCTAACCGTGTATTTAGATTTTTAATTTTGGGTCCCGTTTTTTAAATTGGTCTACATTAAGGTCCAAAGGGTCCAAAATTAAACTTAGATTGATTTTAACAAAAATTGAATTTTTGGGTTTCTTTGATATGCTGAATCTAAACATGTGTTTAGATTTTTGATTATGGGACCAGTTTTCAAGTTGGTCCAAGTTGGGGTCCAAAATTAAACTTTGTTTGATTTCAACAAAAATTGAATATATGGGGTTCTTTGATATGCTGAATCTAAACATGTATTTAGATTTTAGATTTTTGGCCCAGTTTTCAAGTTGGTCCAAATTGGGGTCCAAAATTAAACTTTGTTTGATTTCAACAAAAATTGAATATATGGGGTTCTTTGATATGCTGATTCTTACCATGTATTTAGATTTTTTATTTTGTGGGCCTGCTATCAAATTGGTTCATATTGAGGTCAAAAGGGTCCAAAATTAAACTTTGTTTGATTTCATCAAAAATTGAATTATTGGGGTTCTTTGATATGCCAAATCTAACCGTGTTTTTAGATTTTTAATTTTGGGTCCCGTTTTTTAAATTGGTCTACATTAAGGTCCAAAGGGTCCAAAATTAAACTTAGTTTGATTTTAACAAAAATTGAATTCTTGAGGTTCTTTGATATGCTGAATCTAAACATGTGTTTAGATTTTTGATTATGGGACCAGTTTTCAAGTTTGTCCAAGTTGGGGTCCAAAATTAAACTTTGTTTGATTTCAACAAAAATTGAATATATGGGGTTCTTTGATATGCTGAATCTAACCATGTATTTTGATTTTGGACATTGGACCATAATAGGTAAATTAAAAAAATTGAAGTTCTTAGACCACATTCTTTCTGTGTCAGAAACCTATGCTGTGTCAAATATTTAATCACAATCCAAATTCAGAGCTGTATCAAGCTTGAATGTTGTGTCCATACTTGCCCCAACTGTTCAGGGTTCGACCTCTGCGGTCGTATCAAGCTGCGCCCAGCGAAGCATTTTATATAGGGTTGTAAAAGAGTTGAATATGACCACATATTAAGTTTGAAGGGCAGAAGTACTTCACACAAAATATGTTCTGCGGTCAACCCTTCTACACCCCAATAAAATTTCAAAAAGAGGCATTCAACTCTTAGTTATAAGTATCTTCAAATGTTTATTAAGAAGCTGATATAACCAATATTTTATGAAAAATTATTTTTACTTGAGATAAAATATATAAAGTTCAGTCTTATATTTAGATTTACTTGTTAATTTCAGTCTTAAGTAGAGTGAAAGTTACACTGAATGATACAGTAATCAGACTGGAGCATCTACCCATGCAAGCTGAAACTGGAGTAGCACTTGAAATTAGAATAAAAAGGTACAAAACTGAGAATGCTTATCATTTCATTCACTATCCTATGAATTTACTTTTACTTTTGGATTCCTTTGAAAATAGTTTATTGGAAAACTTTGGGTTTGTGGGTTTTTATTTTGAATAGCTTATAAACAGGAAAAAAATGCATTTTTATGCCCCCGCTGAAGCAGAGGGGGCATTAAGTTTTACCCTTGTCCATCCGTCCGTACGTACGTCCCGGAGTTGGTTTCCGTTCTCTAACTTTAGTTTGCCTCTACCAAATGTTATGAAACTTATACACAATGCTTATTTCCACAAAACACAGATCAAGTTTGAATTTTGGTGGTGTCACTTTAACTGTTTTAGAGTTATGCCACTTTACAAATGGAAAAATTGCTGAATTTTTCGTTTCAGTTCTCTAACTTTAGTTTGCCTCAACCAAATGTTATGAAACTTATACATTTTCTTGGATATATGATATTAGAATTAGTGGTTTTGTCAATTACAAAATGAAAACAAAATATACCTCATTGAATGGAATTTCAGTGTAAATGGGGGATTTCAGAATTATATAGAATCTCCTTATATTTGAAATGACCACATCATTATTTCAAACGAACATAATTCTTATTTTTTTTGTCAGCAAACTTCTTCCATTTTTCAAAATGAAAAGTGTAACACCTTTTTTCCTTAAAAATTTAATTCATTCAAAACTGCTATCAGCTGCTTGCATTTATATCTGATATTTTGATGTATAAAGAAAGCATGTTTTCAGGTGTTTTATTGGGTAAGAATTTTGTGTATGATTAAGAATTTTTTCAGTAAAACAAATATTCTATGTACCATTTCATTACTGTCTTCACTGTTTATATATAGCACAGTATTGTATTTTATACTAGTTTAGGTTTTCGTTTCCAATAACATAAACTTTGCAAACACTAAGATTTTACATGGACATCTTGTCACTGTTTTCATTGTAAAAATGTTGATTTCTCCTTCTGTAATTATTTGATGATTAAAAATTGGCTGGAATGCAAACTAACATTGAATATCTTATTATACCCAGCTATGCTGCATTCAGACGCCTGCTTCATGTTTTCTGATTCTTTAAAATTATGAATGTGGTATGATTGGTATGATAAGTCACAAAAACACAGCTACACATGCATTTGGGTTTTGATTCTAAATACTCAGAACTATATAATAAGCCAGGGCTCGACAATAACGCTTGTCCGATTGTCCGGTACCAGAGGAAAAAAAGGTCAGACAAGCAAAAGCCATATCAAACTAATAAACAAAAAACAAGAAAAAAAGATAAAAACAAATATCAATTTGACATGTTTTACTTGTGATCGATAATTACTGGTTCTTTGTCAGATGCTTTATAACAGATAAAACGCATACTATTCTCGGAAACCAGTATTGCTGATCGGAATCAGCGATGCACTTTGTAGGTAACAAGGCAGTTCGGCACCGGCACGAAAACGAATCGGCTCCATGTTTAATAGACAGTTTGGCACCGTAGGAGACATTTTGGGCCAAAGACAAACCAGTACCTCTTTCCCTACCTTATTCTGTTGCTTATAATGAATAATATAAATTTTATTAAACAAAAATATTTTGAAAATAAAGATGAAGAAATAATTGACCATAAAATTCATAAAATCATATTTGATCATATGTAGACAAAACAATACTTGATTGCGTTTGAATAAACATTTTAATATATTAAAAACAAAGGCTTAAGCTGATTGTAGTAAGGCATTAATCATAATAATCAATATTTTATCAACATAAAAGACCAGGATACATACCAAATGAGTGTAGACTGACAGGCCTACCAGATTGTGCCTAATGTGCAGAGTCTGATGAGCCTTTGGCATTGATGAAAACTAGAAATGAAGTCCTGTGACATGACTAGATTTAGTTGTTCTCAACTCATATTTTTGAAAGGATATCAAGAGTTATATAGTAAATCCTGTTCTATTGTTTAAATTCATTTTGTTCATTGAATTAACTTAAAATGCAAAAAAGGTTAATATAAAGTTGTTGTTTTTTTGGACAAGTTACAATTCCATTTGGACAAGTAAGTTTTGGTATGTATTTGTCCTATTAGGCAAGTTACAATAAAAGTTATTGTAGAGGCCTGTAAGCCTAGATGCATTGAAACTGATGAAGTGTAAAATTTCATTTTATGATTACCCATTAGTGTACAGTGGTAATAGTGTCCCCAACTCATTCCAGTGCGTTTAATCAAGTTTCGTTTGTCCATTAGTGAAAGTCAAGACGTTCTGATCAAGCTTGATGAAACTTCCGTCAATGACTGGTTGACAAAAAACTTCTTACATCTTACCTACAGAATAAGTTGACTAAATTACAAACTAGTTTAATTTACTTTGGATTCATTATTATGTATAGGGTATCAATTATTTTGGATTTCTTGGATAAAGTTGAACCACAAATTTAGATGTTTAACCAACTACCAATTTTCTAAAGGCATGTTTCCTTTCTTTGCCAAAACCATGAAATCAAAGATAAACGAAAATAAAAATTTACCTCAATCCACTAAAATTAGTACCTATGAAAATAAATGAATCCACAGTTTCTTTAATCAGAAAACCAACTTCAGTGGTATTCTCAATTTTAACGATATAGGTGAGAACTGTGGAGTCTTTAATTTTTGAGGGATACCAAACTTCATGGATTTTGTGGGTAGAGAGAAACAATCAATATAAATTATTAAGGAAATAGAAATTTCTTGTTACTTTGCTGGGAGCAAATGATGATAACACAAAATTAAGTTCCCATGAAATAGCCAAATTTTCTCTGACATCGAAAATTGAAACCAACGAAAGATGTTAACTACGTGATTAACAGAAATGTTATATGATATTTCAGGATAGAATATTTTGATGATTTAGCATTAGATGAAGGCAGTTCAGTTGATGATGTACACAAGTGGGAACCATCGGCAATCTCCCACAAAAATATAAGTATGGAAGGTATACAGATACTTTGTGATGAATTTACACGTCTTTCTCGACAGTACAGCTCACCAGATATAGGCTCTAGTCCTTCATCACCTGTATCCCCATCAGTGAGTAGCATAATTAAATACATAAAACTGTACGAGAGATAAATATGTAGGAGAGGATGTTACATGTAGTTAGAAATCTTATTTAACCTCACCATGCATGAAATTTTGATAAAAAAAACTAATTGAGGAAAAAAAAAATTAATATTATATTTGGATTCATATACGTTTATTTTTTATTGAAATAGGGGTTCTGCTTGAGTGATTTTGATATTCAACTGCTATTTAGAATTGGAAACTTCAACCTTAGCTTTGTTTTTTGTTGCCATATCTTTTACTTTCTTTGAGTGACTCTTTTTGAATTGAAATGCCTCTTGATCACATCCCATGTTGATGAAAAAGCCTTAGTGTTAGACCATAAGTACTTTATTATACAGTTTTACATAGAACAGAAATGTATTTAAGGGGAGCAAAATTTTACCATTAGATTTGTTAACTGTCTAGAAAAAAAATGCATGAGATTTTAAATATTGGAACTGAGAGATATAGAAAGAGTTAAGTCTATACTTTTTGATTTTTACAAAAGTGTTAAGAAGAGTTAGTAAGCACATTTTTTTTTTATTGGTAAACCTTTTACAGCCTGTATTGTATATGAATATCTGAACATAAATAAAGGCAGATTCATTTCCAAGATTATATTAAAAAATCAAAGTTTGCTTATTTACAGGTCTTTCACTCCACTAGTAGTACATTGTCATCTGTACCACCATTCAGCCAATCAGAACCCACCTCATCACTGCCTAGTCCAGATTCTGATCCAATACAAGTAGCTGTTATAACAGGAAAGAATACATTGAAACTGAAAGTAAAACAAGGGGAAGGATTAGGAATACAGGGGCCAAAGGTAACTTAAAGGAGTTATATAAAAATAAGGATATGTGGTATAATTGCCAATAAGATAACTATCCACCAAAGTTCAAATGAAGTGGATGTAAGCAATTATAGGCAACCGTACGGCCTTCAACAATTAGAAAAACCCATATCATATAGTGGGCTATAAAAGGTTCTCACATGAAAAATATGAAACAATTCAATTGAGAAAATTAAAGGCCTAATTTATAACAAAATTTACGAAAAATTAAATATGATTGACATGAACCGACGACAACCACTGAACTACAGGCTCCTGACTTAGGACAGGCACGTAAAGAATGTGGCGGGGTTAAAGATGTTTGTGAGCTCTCAACCCTCCCCTAACCATGGACAGTGGTGTTACATCACAACAAGAACAAACTATAAAAATATGTTGAAAAGGGCTTTACTCATCAGATCGACAGAAGCAGAAAAACATCTAACAAAAACAGACAGGATGTGGCAGGGTATTTATACATCCCTAACAACAAAAAAGACACAAAAGATTTGAGAGTACTTTCACTTACTGACAGCTAGTTAAAAGCCAATAACAACTAATAAAAGAAATCATGTATCTTAGACTAAAACAGTTCCCTCAGATTATTTCATTTAAATATAAAAATAAACACATCCAGGAAGGTGCTATAAATAAGACTATTTTTTCAACATGCATATATCTCACAAAACATGTTTGGCCCCGCTGCATTGTTGCGCCTGTCCTAGGTCGGGAGCCTCTGGCCTTTGTTGGTTTTGTATGTTTTTTAATTTTGGTTCATTTGTATGTTTTGGAGTTTGGTGTGGCATTCATTTTCACTGAACTAGTACACATTTTTGTTTGGGGGCCAGCTGTTTTCTGCTCTTTGGTCGGGTTGTTTTCTCTTTGACATATTCCCCATTTCCATTCTCAATTTTATCTATTTATAATCTCAGAGTATCTTGTGAAGAAGCTCAAATGATACATGTATCCTAAAAGTAGCAATTAGTGCAAAAGTACTGATTTCATTAAAAGTTAGGTTTCCGAATGTTACAAAGACAATTAGATTTAACATAAATCTGTTTTCGCTATCTTCAATGAACTGTTTATTTAGATTGAAATGTCGTTTTTCTTTCATTATTCTTTGTAAAATCTTCTATTTCAACTATGTCTATAGATTTGTTGCACCATTTACACTTTGTTAGATATAAGATGGCAAAAATTTTCACTTTTTTATGAAAGTCGAGGGTCATTATGTTTTATTGTCAGTGTGTCAGTTGGTTTGTTGGTTTTCCCTGGAAGTTATGGTTACACCAACTTCACTTGTTCATTATGATATGAACTTTCGCAATTATATGCCAAGTTAAAATTTGCACCAAATTTCAGGGTTCATTGATCATTGACATTTGATAAGGTGAGTGGACACATATTCTTGTTAAGATTGTATTTACTAATATTTGTTTGTTATTTTCTCAGGTTGAAATGGAATGTGAGCTTGGTGCTGTACATATCCTTTTGTGCCCAAAACAATTCCATGCCTTATGGGCGTTAGCAGATGGATTGTCATCTCCAGGTAAAGTATAACATTAACATACTTATTTATAGGGACAACTTGTTGATATCCCATTAACCCTGATTTTTTGGGAGTTCCCAATCCATATTTTTTGCAAAGCATTTTCAATAACCAAGGACTTTTTTGTACTTTTTATAATATTGATTTTATGCAAAAATTAATATAAAATTGAGAATGGAAATGGGGAATATGTCAAAGAGACAACAACCCAAGTAAAGAGCAGATAACAGCCGAAGGCCACCAATAGTATTTACCTACACAAACTTGTAGTGTAATGAGAGAGAAAAAATATTTCAACGACATACTATGTATAATTTTTATATCGACATTAAAGACAAGAACACTCATAAATGACCACAAAGTAATAATTTTAATGGTCGACATGTTTTGCCAGCAAGCATGGCGTCTTCAGGACAAGTATATATATGAAATAAAACAGTGAAGTACAAATTTTGCGGTTATTGCGGTTAACCGGAAGTGATGTTACAATAATGGCTGTTATGATGATGTTATCACAAAAAATAGAAAGTAAAATTGAAATAAAAATAGTTAAGTTGTTGGCTGCTATTCACAACATCTGTATCCAGTCCCATTGGAGGTTCCTAATGGTATTGTTATAGAGATGATGAAGGTGGGTGATAAAGTGTTCGGTGTAATTTCCCAAACGGACAACACCTCACTAGTAATTCCATACCAATTATACTGGCTTCGCTCTAGGAGATACTGCTTCCAATTGAGATGTATGATCGCCGCTGGTATTGGGAATTATAAAAATCGTGATAGATCTTTAAATATTTAATTTGTTTGTAAAATGTTCACAGATCAAGTTATGCTTCATATATATGTTGTGTAGATCCTGTGGTTCATTCTGTTTCTGGTTCTGTTCTCTTTTCTCTAAATGGGCTGCCTGGTATTCCAATTAATTTTGACCATGTGTACTTATGTGTTGGATGTTAATTTTCCGTAATAGAGAGCTCCTTATGTGGATTCTGCTGTGGTTGCTTCTGTTTCAATATCTCTCATTCTTTCTTCTGGTGGTGTGTAGAATTTTGCGATCATTTTCAGGAAAGGATTGAGAATCTTTGAAATGGTCTGTGTATTCGTTGATGCTGGTTGGTCGTATAGTACAATGCTTGTGTGGCATAGGTGGATCCTTAGGGATGCAGGAGTTTACAGTCCTAAAGTTTCACTGTAATTGTTAAAATTAACCAACACCTGATGTATAATTTTTGTAAATTGAGTAATACAAAATATATTCCTATTTTTGTTAAGCAACTACACTGTTCCAGTGTAGATTTTTGAATAAAGATTTAACCCAAGCTCAGAGATAAAAAAAATTTGGATGAATGAAATTTTTTTGTCTATACCCACTTAGATAACATGTGAACTATGCACCATTTTTTTCTATTTTCTTTATCATAAAAATGTTGGCATAATTTAAAAACTACACATTGCTGTTTCAAAAGCTACAAGTGACAGGAAGATGAAGCGAAATAGAAGTAAGAGTAAACCTATGAGTCCAGATGACTACCGAAAGATAGAGGAAGATCTCCAACGACAGCTACAGTCTGGCAGAATACAACATCAAAGACAAGAAATCTCTCACTTCACAGCCATGCATGATATTATGACTGGATCTTTTGGTATTATAGTCTTATTTGATATTTCTATGACATAAATATGAACTAAGGTTAATAATTTTATACAGGGTCTTAGAAAAATTTGAGACTGTAAAACATGAGAAAGAATTTCTAAAAAGTCTATATAAATATCCATATAAATATAAGAAGATGTTGTATAATTGCTAATGAGACAACTCTCTACCAGAGACCAAATGACATAGAAGAAGTTAACACGAAATATATATACAATTTGTAAAGCAGTCCAGTTCTTTTTATACGCCCATTTAATGGGACGTATTATGGTATACCTCTGTCCGTCCGTCCGTTGTCAACATGTTGGACAATAACTTAAAAACACTTTAAACAATTTGCATGAAACTTTGGTGAATTGTTTATATCTATTGACGTGAGCTCCCTTTCGATTTTTATAAATTTTAGATTTTACGTTTCTGAGTTATGGTGTTTTATTTTTATGCCCCGCCATACTGGAATTGGTTTCTGTTCTCTAACTTTAGTTTGCCGCAATCAAATGTTATGAAACTTCTACACAATGCTTATTACCACAAAACAGATCAAGTTCGAATTCAGGTGGCATAATTTTTACAGTTCTGTAGTTATGCCCCTTTATAATGTTTTATGCAAGAGGGGGCATCATCTGTGTCCCATGGACACATTCCCCATTTATTTTGTGTCCAGTAAACAGATAAACCTGACCTTTCTGCTAACCAATAAATCATTTATATTTATATTTTACTTGTTTCTACTGCCATTACTCTCAGTGTCATTTTACTGACTAAATTTGTCATTTTAAAAGAAAATAGTCTAGCACATAAGGTTGTCTAAACCTCTTTCTTTTTTTTTATTATTATTATATAAAGTAATCTGCATTGTCCATATAGTGAATTTTTATCCAGACAAAGTGATTTGTTGAGCTTACAATTTTAGTGATACTCTACAATATTCATTGAAACCACTATGCTATTGAAGCGGTCTGTCATTTTTATACGACCGCAAAAAAATTTTGTGGTCGTATATTGGTATGATGTTGGCGTCGTCGTCGTCGTCCGGCGTCGTCGTCCGAAGACACATTGGTTTTCGCACTCTAACTTTAGTTTAAGTGAATGGATCTTTTAGAAATTTGACCCTAAGGTTAAATACCACAAAAGGAAGGTTGGGATTGATTTTGGGGGTTATGGTACCAACAGTTAAGGAATAAGGGGCCAAAAAGGGGCCAAAAATAAGCATTTTCTAGTTTCCAGACAATAACTCTGGAACGGTGTATGGATCTCTCTGAAATTATACTACAAGTTTCCATACCACAAAGGGATGGTTAGGATTTGCTTTGGGGGGTTATGGCTCAAACCGTTTAGGAATTAGGGGCAAAAAAGGGGGAAAAACAAGGTTGTCCTGGTTAATGGACAAATACTTTAGTACAAAACATAATTTAAAGCAGTGTAAGGGAGATAAATCAAATACATCATTGAAATTATCTCCCTTACACTGCTTTTAAATTATGTATAAAGTAATGGTTAATGAACAATAAAGATAATTTAAAACAGTGTAAGGGAGGTAATCCAAATACAACGTTTTGGTTACTTCCCTTACACTGCTTTTAAATTATGTTTAAAGAAATGCATATTTATAAAGGAAGACCAGTAAAAATATCTGCAAATGTTGCATCTTTTTTTTTTACAAAAAAATCCATATGAAAGATTTGACACTATATTTTTAATTCTATTATAAAATAGATTAAGTTAGCACTATGGTAAATTTAAATGGGTAATTATGGTTGCCAACTCCATTGGAAATTTGAATTGAGATTATGACCATATGTTGAGGGAAAGAATTTTTTGGGGGAAAAAAGAGGGGGGGGGGGATAAAAAGAAATTGTGGGGGGTCAATTTTTTCTCATTTCAGATTTCAGAAATTAAAAAGAATTATTCTTCAAATATTATTTTTTTTTCAAATTTCAAATATTGAAAAATTTCAAGAAGTAATCTTTAATTGCACAGTATGGCGCATTAGATTTGTAAAATCTTTGATCACATTTATTTATTTGTTATGCCGAATCTAACAGTGTATTTAGATTTTTAATTTTGGGTCCAGTTTTCAAATTGGTCTACATTAAGGTCCAAAGGGTCCAAAATTAAACTTTGTTTGATTTTAGCAAAAATTGAATATATGAGGTTCTTTGATATGCTGAATCTAAACATTTATTTAGATTTTTGATTTTTGGCCCAGTTTTCAAGTTGGTCCAAATTGGGGTCCAAAATTAAACTTTGTTTGATTTCAACAAAAATTGAATATATGGGGTTCTTTGATATGCTGAATCTAACCATGTATTTAGATTTTTTATTTGTGGACCCCGTTATCAAATTGGTTCATATTGAGGTCAAAAGGGTCCAAAATAAAACTTTGTTTGATTTCATCTAAATTTGAATTATTGGGGTTCTTTGATATTCCAAATCTAACCGTGTATTTAGATTTTTAATTTTGGGTCCTGTTTTTATACGCCCGTTTACGGGACGTATTATGGTATACCTCTGTCCGTCTGTCCGTCCGTCGTCAACATGTCGGACATTAACTCAAAAACGCTTTAACCAATTTGCATAAAATTTTGGTGAATTGTTTATATCTATTGACGTGAGCTCCCTTTCGTTTTTTATAAATTTTGAATTTTACGTTTCTGAGTTATGGGGTTTTATTCATTAAAAAAAGGGGGATTTTCCAGTTTTCGGACAATAACTCAAGAATGCTTTCACCAACTTGCAAGAAATTGTGGTGAATTGTTTATATCTATTGACATGAGCTCCCTTTTGATTTTTATAAATTTTAGATTTTACTTTTCCGAGTTACAGGGTTCTTATTCATAAAAAAGGGGGATTTTCCAGTTTTCTGACAAAAACTCAAAAATGCTTTCAGCAGTTCTTATGAAACTATGGTGAATTGTTTATATCTATTTAGGTAAGCTCCCTTTAGAATTTTATAAATTTTACATTTTACATTTCTGAGTTATGGGGTTTTATTCATTAAAAAGGGGGGATTTTCCAGTTTTCGGACAATAACTCAAAAATGCTGTCAGCAATTCTCATGAAACTTTGGTGAATTGTTTATATCTATTGATGTAAGCTCCCTTTTGATTTTCATACATTTCTAATATGACATTGAGAATTAATTGAACTTTATTTGTTTATAGTCTGACAACAGATTTACTAAGTATTGCGCAACAGCACAGTGTATTGCACAACAGCAAGAAATCTTTAATTGAATATAAATTCAATTCATATAACCAATTTCAAGTTCTTTGACTACATTTATTCAGAAACCTGTAATATCTCAAATATTTAATTACAATCCAAATTCAGACCTGTATCAAGCTTGAATATTGTGTCCATTTTTGCCCCAACTGTTCAGGGTTGGACCTCTGCGGGCGTATCCAGCTGCGCTCAGCGAAGCAGTTTATTTAAAAATTGCTCTACATTAAGGTCCAAAGGGTCCAAAATTAAACTTAGTTTGATTTTAACAAAAATTGAATTCTTGGGGTTCTTTGATATGCTGAATCTAAACATGTGTTTAGATTTTTGATTATGGGCCCAGTTTTCAAGTTGGTCCAAGATAGGGTCCAGTATTTAAACTTTCTTTGATTTCAACAAAAATTGAATATATGGGGTTCTTTGATATGCTGAATCTAAACATGTATTTAGATTTTTGATTATGGGCCCAGTTTTCAAGTTGGTCCAAATTGGGGTCCAAAATTAAACTTTGTTTGATTTCAACAAAAATTGAATATATGAGATTCTTTGATATGCTGAATCTAAACATGTATTTAGATTTTTTATTTGTGGGCCCTGCTATCAAATTGGTTCATATTGAGGTCAAAAGGGTCCAAAATTAAACTTTGTTTGATTTCATCAAAAATTGAATTATTGGGGTTCTTTGATATGCCAAATCTAACTGTGTTCTTAGATTTTTAATTTGGGTCCCGTTTTTATACGACCGCAAAAAATTTTGTGGTCGTATATTGGTATGACCTTGGCGTCGTCGTCGTCGTCGTCGTCCGAAGACACATTGGTTTTCGCACTCTAACTTTAGTTTAAGTGAATGGATCTTTTTGAAATTTGACCATAAGGTTAAATACCACAAAAGGAAGGTTGGGATTGATTTTGGGGGTTATGGTACCAACAGTTAAGGAATTAGGGGCCAAAAAGGGGCCAAAAATGAGCATTTTCTAGTTTCCAGACAATAACTGTGGAACGGTGTATGGATCTCTCTGAAATTATACTACAAGTTTCCATACCACAAAGGGATGGTTAGGATTTGCTTTGGGGGGTTATGGCTCAAACCGTTTAGGAATTAGGGGCAAAAAAGGGGGAAAAACAAGGTTGTCCTGGTTAATGGACAAATACTTTAGTTCAAAACATAATTTAAAGCAGTGAAAGGGAGATAAATCAAATATATCATTGAAATTATCTCCCTTACACTGCTTTTAAATTATGTATAAAGTAATGGTTAATGAACAATAAAGATAATCTAAAACAGTGTAAGGGAGGTAATCCAAATACAACGTTTTGGTTACTTCCCTTACACTGCTTTTAAATTATGTTTAAAGAAATGCATATTTATAAAGGAAGACCAGTAAAAATATCTGCAAATGTTGCATCTTTTTTTTTTACAAAAAAATCCATATGAAAGATTTGACACTATATTTTTATTAATTCTATTATAAAATAGATTAAGTTAGCACTATGGTAAATTTAAATGGGTAATTATGGTTGCCAACTCCATTGGAAATTTGAATTGAGATTATGACCATATCTTGAGGGAAAGAATTTTTTTGGGGGAAAAGGGGGGGGGGGGATAAAAAGAAATTGTGGGGGGCCAATTTTTTCTCATTTCAGATTTCAGAAATTAAAAAGAATTATTCTTCAAATATTGAAAAATTTCAAGAAGTAATCTTTAATCTTTAATTGCACAGTATGGCGCATTAGATTTGTAAAATCTTTGATCACATTTATTTATTTGTTATGCCGAATCTAACAGTGTATTTAGATTTTTAATTTTGGGTCCAGTTTTCAAGTTGGTCCAAGATAGGGTCCAAAATTAAACTTAGTTTGATTTTAACAAAAATTGAATTCTTTGGGTTCTTTGATATGCTGAATCTAAACATGTGTTTAGATTTTTGATTATGGGCCCAGTTTTCAAGTTGGTCCAAGATAGGGTCCAGTATTTAAACTTTGTTTGATTTCAACAAAAATTGAATATATGGGGTTCTTTGATATGCTGAATCTAAACATGTATTTAGATTTTTGATTATGGGCCCAGTTTTCAAGTTGGTCCAAATTGGGGTCCAAAATTAAACTTTGTTTGATTTCAACAACAATTGAATATATGAGGTTCTTTGATATGCTGAATCTAACCATGTATTTAGTTTTTTTATTTGTAGGCCCCGCTATCAAATTGGTTCATATTGAGGTCAAAAGGGTCCAAAATTAAACTTTGTTTGATTTCATCAAAAATTGAATTATTGGGGTTCTTTGATATGCCAAATCTAATCGTGTTTTTAGATTTTTAATTTGGGTCCCGTTTTTTAAATTGGTCTTCATTGAGGTCCAAAGGGTCCAAAATTAAAGTTAGTTTGATTTTAACAAAAATTGAATTCTTGGGGTTCTTTGATATGCTGAATCTAAATATGTGTTTAGATTTTTGATTATGGGCCCAGTTTTCAAGTTGGTCCAAATTGGGGTCCAAAATTAAACTTTTTTTGATTTCAACAAAAATTGAATATATGGGGTTCTTTGATATGCTGAATCTAACCATGAATTTAGATTTTTTATTTGTGGGCCCCACTATCAAATTGGTTCATATTGAGGTCAAAAGGGCTAAAATTAAACTTTGTTTGATTTCATCAAAAATTGAATTATTGGGGTTCTTTGATATTCCAAATCTAACCGTGTATTTAGATTTTTAATTTTAAGTCCCGTTTTTTAAATTGGTCTACATTAAGGTCCAAAGGGTCCAAAATTAAACTTAGTTTGATTTTAGCAAAAATTGAATTCTTGGGGTTCTTTGATATGCTGAATCTAAACATGTGTTTAGATTTTTGATTATGGGCCCAGTTTTCAAGTTTGTCCAAGTTGGGGTCCAAAATTAAACTTTGTTTGATTTTAACAAAAATTGAATATATGGGGTTCTTTGATATGCTGAATCTAACCATGTATTTTGATTTTGGACATTGGACCATAATAGGTAAATTAAAAAAATTCAAGTTCTTAGATCACATTCTTTCTGTGTCAGAAACCTTTGCTGTGTCAAATATTTAATAACAATCCAAATTCAGAGCTGTATCAAGCTTGAATGTTGTGTCCATACTTGCCCCAACTGTTCAGGGTTCGACCTCTGCGGTCGTATCAAGCTGCGCCCCAGCGAAGCATTTTATTTAAATTGGTCTTAATTGAGGTCCAAAGGGTCCAAAATTAAACTTAGTTTGATTTAAACAAAAATTGAATTCTTGGGGTTCTTTGATATGCTGAATCTAAACATGTGTTTAGGTTTTTGATTATGGGCCTAGTTTTCAAGTTGGTCCAAGTTGGGGTCCAAAATAAAACTTTTTTTGATTTCAACAAAAATTGAATATATGGGGTTCTTTGATATGCTGAATCTAACCATGTATTTAGATTTTTTATTTGTGGGCCCGCTATCAAATTGGTTCATATTGAGGTTAAAAGGGTCCAAAATTAAACTTTGTTTGATTTCATCAAAAATTGAATTATTGGGGTTCTTTGATATTCCAAATCTAACCGTGTATTTAGAATCTTAATTTTAAGTCCCGTTTTTTAAATTGGTCTACATTAAGGTCCAAAGGGTCCAAAATTAAACTTAGTTAGATTTAAGCAAAAATTGAATTCTTGGGGTTCTTTGATATGCTGAATCTAAACATGTGTTTAGATTTTTGATTATGGGCCCAGTTTTCAAGTTTGTCCAAGTTGGGGTCCAAAATTAAACTTTGTTTGATTTTAACAAAAATTGAGTATATGGGGTTCTTTGATATGCTGAATCTAACCATGTATTTTGATTTTGGACATTGGACCATAATAGGTAAATTAAAAAAATTCAAGTTCTTAGACCACATTCTTTCTGTGTCAGAAACCTATGCTGTGTCAAATATTTAATAACAATCCAAATTCAGAGCTGTATCAAGCTTGAATGTTGTGTCCATACTTGCCCCAACTGTTCAGGGTTTGACCTCTGCGGTCGTATCAAGCTGCGCCCCAGCGAAGAATTTTATTTCAGCTTTTTACTTTACATTATTTAAAATTAAACTGAAGTTGAAGGAAAAAGGTCTTAACAGAAATTAGAATGAAAAAGTTTTTAAAGGATAATGTTTTATGTGAAATTTTATAATAAACATGTATTTATTAGAGATCAAAACAATAATATTATAATTGATATGACAATATCTGAATATTATAGGAGGTGAGGACCAGTTTTATTCTGTAGGACAACATAAAGACATGGAGTCTTCCTTTACAAGCCAAACTTCATACAGTACTGTCTCAAGTAAGTCATAAAATACTGTGCTACAAAGAAAATGTTGAATTATTTCTGGTAGGAAGCAATACTTTGAGACTTTTTAATGCTGTGTATTTGGATTTTCATTTTTTCCTCATTCCATACTGAAAGGGGAAATTTTAAAATCTTGTTTTAGTGTGTCGTTACATGTCCTTGGTTTGTTATTATTGGAATATTTATTATTGTTGACACTTGTGTTATTGTTACCATTCAATATAAAAGTTTCATTGGCATATGTACTTTCACATCAATTTTTGTTTAGTATGTCAGATATTAAACATTTTGATACATTGCATGATTCACTGAAACATACCTTTAACTCTTGCGTTTACGCTGAAATAAGACAAGATTATTATTAAATTCATATGAAGTACCGGTATATTTTTTTATACCCCCTTGCAAACAAAATTAAGAGGAAGGGGTTAAATAGGAGTAATGATATCTGTCCCTATGTCTGTCCATGTGCCTTTTAAGTGCAGCTCTTCATAAACAAATAGTTTCTATATGAATCAAACTACAACACACCTAAGAATGGGCGTAAAGGAAAATTATCCCTTTCAAATATGTGAAAGGAGAGAGAATTGATTTACTTACATCAATAGACAATAGTAAAGTGGTGGTGGTATCCTTTTGTGAATTCACTCACAGAAATCGTGTAATGAAGCAAAATTGTCCTGTAAACATTGGATCATCAACTTATAGTTATGTGTCTTGAAATTATTTATCTTATTTCATGTCATGTTATTTTCAGTATTTCTTTTACATCATTTGCAAGCACATCATCTTGTTCATTATGAATATTTTTATAAGTGCATTCCTGTTGTTTTCATTTTTAGCTCACCTGACCTGAAAGGTCAAGTGAGCTTTTCTCATCACTTTGCGTCCGTCGTCCTGCGTCCGTCGTCCGTCGTCCGTAAACTTTTACAAAAATCTTCTCCTCTGAAACTACTGGGCCAAATTTAACCAAACTTGGCCACAATCATCATTGGGGTATCTAGTTTTAAAAATGTGTGGCGTGACCCGGTCAACCAACCAAGATGGCCGCCACGGCTAAAAATAGAACATAGGGGTAAAATGCAGTTTTTAGCTTATAACTCAAAAACCAAAGCATTAAGAGCAAATCTGACATGGGGTAAAATTGTTCATCAGGTCAAGATCTATCTGCCCTGAAATTTTCAGATGAATCGGACTACCCGTTATTGGGTTGCTGCCCCTGAATTGGTAATTTTAAGGAAATTTTGCTGTTTTTGGTTATTATCTTGAATATTATTATAGATAGAGATAAACTGTAAACAGCAATAATGTTCAGCAAAGTAAGATTTACAAATAAGTCAATATAACCGAAATGGTCAGTTGACCCCTTTAGGAGTAATTGCCCTTTATAGTCAATTTTTAACCATTTTTCGTAAATCTTAGTAATCTTTTACAAAAATCTTCTCCTCTGAAACAACTGGGCCAAATTAAACCAAACTTGGCCACAATCATCATTGGGGTATCTTGTTTAAAAAATGTGTGGCGTGACCCGGCCAACCAACCAAGATGGCCGCCACAGCTAAAAATAAAACATAGGGGTAAAATGCAGTTTTTGGCTTATAACTCAAAAACCAAAGCATTTAGAGCAAATCTGACATGAAGTAAAATTGTTTATCAGGTCAAGATCTATCTGCCCTGAAATTTTCAGATGAATCGAACAACCTGTTGTTGGGTTGCTGCCCCTGAATTGGTAATTTTAAGGAAATATTGCTGTTTTTGGTTATTATCTTGAATATTATTATAGATAGAGATAAACTGTAAACAGCAATAATGTTCAGCAAAGTAAGATTTACAAATAAGTCAACATGACTGAAATGGTCAGTTGACCCCTTTAGGAGTTATTGCCCTTTATAGTCAATTTTTAACAATTTTTCGTAAATCTTAGTAATCTTTTACAAAAATCTTCTCCTCTGAAACTCCGTGGCCAAATTAAACCAAACTTGGCCACAATCATCATTTGGTTATCTAGTTTTGAAAATATGTGGCGTGACCTGGTCAACCAACCAAGATGGCCGCCACGGCTAAAAATAGAACATAGGGGTAAAATTCAGTTTTTGGCTTTTAACTCAAAAACCAAAGCATTTAAAGCAAATCTGACATGAAGTAAAATTGTTTATCAGGTCAAGATCTATCTGCCCTGAAATTTTCAGATGAATCGGACAACCCGTTGTTGGGTTGCTGCCCCTGAATTGGTAATTTTAAGGTGATTTTGCTGTTTTTGGTTATTATCTTGAATATTATTATAGATAGAGATAAACTGTAAAAAACAATAAATGTCGGCAAAGTAAGATCTACAAATAAGTCAACATGACCGAAATTGTCAGTTGACCCCTTTAGGAGTTATTGCCCTTTATAGTCAATTTTTAACCATTTTTTCGTAAATCTTAGTAATCTTTTACAAAAATCTTCTCCTCTGAAACTACTGGGCCAAGTTAATTATAGATAGAGATAATTGTAAGCAGGAAAAATGTTCAGTAAATTAAGATGTACAAACACATCACCATCACCAAAACACAATTTTGTCATGAATCCATCTGCGTCCTTTGTTTAATATTCACATAGACCAAGGTGAGCGACACAGGCTCTTTAGAGCCTCTAGTTTTTACAGCACTGGGTCAATACTGCTGCTGGTTGACTATAGTCCCAGAGGGTATCACCAGCTCAGTAGTCAGTACTTCGGTACTGACATGATTTATAACAAACCTTTCTAAAATTGTCCGTCTATAAATTTTGAAATTATCAAGAAACTAAGGTTTCAACTCCCTCAGGCAAAGTTGACCTTAGATGGATTTGGCTTTCAAATATTCTGCTTTGAGCGTTCCTGATGGGGGTAAATCCAGAAAAGCACTTCGGACACGTGGGGTTTGTTACATGTTGTTTTCATTTTTTTACAGCACTGGGTCGATACGCTGCTGGTGGACTATCAGTCCCCGAGGGTATCATCAACCCAGTAGTCAGTACTTCGGTACTGACATGATTTATAACAAACCTTTCTAAAATTGTCCGTTTATTAATTTTGAAATTATCAAGAAACTAAGGTTTCAACTCCCTCAGGCAAAGTTGGATTTGGCTATTTTTTTGGTCCTTTTGGAAATATAGGTCTTCAATTGTCTTGGTTTTTAGCTCACCGGGCCCGAAGGGCCCCATGTGAGCTTATGCCATCACTTGGCGTCCGTCGTCGTCGTCTGTCGTTGTAAACTATTTCAAAAATCTTCTCCTCTGAAACTACTGGGCCAAATACCTTCAAACTTTAACTTAATGTTCCTTAGGGTATTTAGTTTATAAATTGTATCCGAAGTTTTGATCCATCGACAAACATGGCCGCCATGGCTAAAAATAGAACATAAGGGTCAAATGCAGTTTTTGGCTTATATCTCAAAAACTAAAGCTTTTAGAGCAAATCTGACATGGGGTAAAATTGTTCAATTGGTCAAGATCTATCAGCTCTAAAATTTTCAGACAAATCGAACAACCCATTGTTGGGTTGCTGCCACCAAATTGGTAGTTTCAACAAAATTTTGCAGTTTTTTGTTATAATTTTGTATATTATTATAGATATATATAAACTGTAAGCAGCAATAATGTTCAGCAAAATAAGATCTACAAAAAAGTTAATATGACCATAATTGTCAATTGACCCCTTAAGGAGTTATTGCCCTTTAAAGACAATTTTACACAATTTGTTCATCAAGTTTGCTAACATTTAAAAATCTCCTCTGAAACTACTGGGTCAATTACCTTCAAACATCCGAAGACGCATTAGTTTTCGCACTCTAACTTTTGTTTAAGTGAATGGATCTCTATGAAATTTTACCATAAGGTTCAATACCACAAAAGGAAGGTGGGGATTGATTTTGGGGGTTATGGTACCAACAGTTAAGGAATTAGGGGCCAAAAAGTGGCCAAAAATAAGCATTTTCTAGTTTCCAGACAATAACTGTGGAACGGTGTATGGATCTCTCTGAAATTATACTACAAGTTTCCATACCACAAAGGGATGGTTAGGATTTGCTTTGGGGGGTTATTGCTCAAACCGTTTAAGAATTAGGGGCAAAAAAGGGGGAAAAACAAGGTTGTCCTCATGAATGGACAATACTTTAGTACAAAACATAATTTAAAGCAGTGTAAGGGAGATAAATCAAATACATCATTGAAATTATCTCCCTAACACTGCTTTTAAATTATGTATAAAGTAATGGTTAATGAACAATTAAGATAATTTAAAACAGTGTAAGGGAGGTAATCCAAATACAACGTTTTGGTTACTTCCCTTACACTGCTTTTAAATTATGTTTAAAGAAATGCATATTTATAAAGGAAGACCAGTATGGCGCATTAGATTTGTAAAATCTTTGACCACATTTATTTATTTGTTATGCCAATTCTAACCGTGTATTTAGATTTTTTATTTTTGGTCCAGTTTTCAAATTGGTCTACATTAAGGTCCAAAGGGTCCAAAATTAAACTTTGTTTGATTTTAACAAAAATTGAATATATGGGGTTCTTTGATATGCTGAATCTAAACATGTATTTAGATTTTTGATTTTTGGCCCAGTTTTCAAGTTGGTCCAAATTGGGGTCCAAAATTAAACTTTGTTTGATTTCAACAAAAATTGAATATATGGGGTTCTTTGATATGCTGAATCCAACCATGTATTTAGATTTTTTATTTGTGGACCCCTCTATCAAATTGGTTCATATTGAGGTCAAAAGGGTCCAAAATTAAACTTTGTTTGATTTCATCAAAAATTGAATTATTGGGGTTCTTTGATATGCCAAATCTAACCGTGTATACAGATTTTTAATTTTGGGTCCAGTTTTTTAAATTGGTCTACATTAAGGTCCAAAAGGTCCAAAATTAAACTTAGTTTGATTTTAACAAAAATTGGATTCTTGGGGTTCTTTGACATGCTGAATCTAAACATGTGTTTAGATTTTTGATTATGGGCCCAGTT